TCCCGAGTGTTCAAGCTAAAGGCTAAGGCAAGAACGCTGGCTCAAGTTGAAGGTCAGCCTGGATGACACAGAAAATTCTAGGCCACCCGGGGCAACAGAGTGAGATCTTGTTTCAGAAAATAAATGAAGCTGGGCATGATGATGCCCATCTTTAGTACCAACACTTGGAAGGCAGAGGCAGGAAGATCTCTGTGGGCTGGAGGCTAACCTGGTCTACATAGTGAGTTCCAGAACAGCCAGAGCTACACAGTGAGACCCCGCCTCAACACAAAATAAAAACAAGTAAAAAAGGTGATTCTAAATTACCAAGAATGTTAATAAATTAGCCCAGGTACCCAGAACTCAACAGTCTTCAGAGGTGAGCAAACAGTCTTGCTTAAAGTACCTTGAATCCAGCCATTCAACACCTAGGGACTCAGAACTAAGGAGTTTCCTTTTTGCCTCATCAGTGCCTCGTGTGGTGGTGCATCTTGTGACCCTAGCAACTGGGCGGAGGAGGCAGGAGAAGCAGGAGGTTCAAAGACAAACAGCTACACAGCAATCTCAAGGTTGGCTGGGCTAGGAGACAAACTCAGCTAGAAAGCAGGTGGAAGACTGGCTGGGCTACATACGGACCTGTCTTTAAAAAATTATCAGGCAAACAATCTCACTATTCATAGTGACCAAAGAACACAAAGCAAAAAATGGAACAAAACTAAAAAGTTTAAATGCCCAATAATAGAAAACTAATTAAATAAAAATCATTGCCTAGAATATAAATGTATTCATGCAAGTGGAAAAAAATATTCAATCTCATAAGAAAGTATCTATTATATATATTATATAGACTGAGCATCCCTTACCCAAAATGACGGCGACAAAGTATCTCTGATTTTGGAGATTTTTAGATTTTTGGACTTTAATGACTAAGAATCTCTAATACAGAAATCAAAAATCCAAATGTCCCAAAATCCATATGCTCTAAAATCCAAAATGTAAGTGCTCCAAAGTTTCAGATTTCAGAGCTAATGGGTTTTCAAATTAGAAATACTCAACCATACTTAAGTATACTAAAAAGCAAAAAGTGGACATTAAATACTAGGCTGAAAAGATAAGCAGAAATGAAAGATCTGAAGTCTCATATCTAAAGGATGGGTAGTAATCTTTGCATGGAGGGATTAGGATAATTTACTTTTGTTTCTGTGGATATTTAGAAAATATTCTAACTACAAACTTTGGGCATTTTTGCAACAAGAACAAAACACCTACTTATTTTCAAATGTGAAATTTTTTAATTAGTTGAGCTGAAATAAATTCACCTATGCTAATCAAATGTTACTATTAAAAATATTTCATTTATTCAATAATAAAATAAATTTGAGAATCATTCCCCATCAATGGAATTATCAAAAATGTAAAGCCAGTTTTAAAGACTCAGGTTTCACAGCAAAACCATAACTACCAACATAAAATACCCCCTCACTGTTCTAACTTTAGAGTCAATCTATCTGCAGGCACAGAACAGTCGCATTACATACTGAAGCAGCTAAAGGAGCTTGTTAGGAAAGTCAGAGAGCCCAGGATCAGAGTCCTCCTCTGACCTGAGCAAGGTAACCTCTAGATCTCGTGCTCCCTAGCTGTCAAATATGTATCACATTGATCTTGGTGCTCGGGCAAAGACTAAGTGTAGGAACACATCTAACTGCTTGATAGAGAATGGAAAACACTCAGTAACTGCTTGTTATTGGTAGTCAGTGTATGGTGGGTTTAAGTAAGAGCTTCCCAAGCCTCTGGAAAGCTGCGTGGTATGGACAAGTATCTTATAATATACTGATCTCAGCTTCCTCATCTGCAGAACATAGGAAACTCATTGCAGGTTTGAGCTTGAAATTAAACAAAACTATATGAAAAAAGCATCTCGGGGACAGTGAATAACTATAGCCAACATCATCACAACCTACAACAATAAACACCTAAGAGTAGGGATCATTATAAAATGTTTTTACATGTTAGCATGTTCAATTCTATCAATGATCACTTATGCATACCTCCCTTAATTCCCAAATTAGGTATAAATTTCAGAAAAAAAAAAGTAAAATACAGATAAATTTAAGCACACTGAAAAATAAAAGGCCAATGTTAGTTTAAAGGTGTTATCTTTAACTAGACTTACTTTAACATGTAGAAATGGTTTCTAGAAACAACTCTGCAATTGGAATTCTTCTCATGACTTCGTGGGGTGGGGGTGGGGTGGGGCAGGGCAGTTCTAGGCATGTGTGGTATATGAGCACCTATGTGTACAGATAAGTGCGTGTGCCACAGAGACCAGGAGTGCATATGGTACCCTACTCTATCACTCTCCACCTGTTCCTTGAAGTCAGGGTCTCTCACCAAACCTAGAAGAAGGTTGGTACCCAGTCAGCCCCAGAGATCTTCCAGTCTCTAGCCCACCAAAAGCAATGGGGTTATAGGTTCGCCATACAACCCTGTCTATGCTAGGATTTGAATTCAGGTCCTCAAGTTTGCACAGAAAACACTCTGAGTGGTCTCTCTAGACTTTTACATGTCTTTAAACAACTAAAACACAAATGCCCTTAATAGAAGAACTCTTTCCAATCTATGATGGTTCATACAAACACCTGTATGGAAGCAGTAACGAAAACGCACTGGTTAGGATAACAGACTGGAGTCAGATTCTCTGGATTCAAATTCTGGCCTCACCTAGGTGGATGACCTCTCCGGGCCTGTTTCCAAATCTGGAAAATGGAGATTTGGGGGAGCAGAGAGGGGGCAACACAGGTCTCATCTAGCCCAAGCTAACCTTAACTTGACTCTGTAGCTGAGGATGACTGTAAACTTCTGATTCTCCTGCTTCTGCTTCCCGAGAGCTTGCACTGCAGGCATCTCCCACCAGGCCCAGCTTTTTGAGATTATTTAAAAGACTGTTAAGGATTAAATGAGCTAAAACACTTGAAGTATTCATAATAAAGATTGGCAAATGAAAGGTATAAGTACTCACCATTTTTTGTAATTACTACCTCCACCCCAAAATGCCTAGATTTCTGTCAATAAATATTTGCTGTTTTGTAAACAATTTCAACAAATGGCTGGCTAAACCTAAAAAAAAAAATCACACCTGCTTAAGGCACTGCATAATGCCTTTACTATCTTACCCCATTAGAGGTGATTTCAGATAAAACAAAAAGTCAATCCCTTTCTTAAACTTCCTGTCATACAAAGTTATAACAGCCATCCTTGCTAGCATAAATTCAGAACCAAGAATTCTACAATTAAGGCAGACACACACCAACTTGCCTGACAAAAGTCTCAAACTCAAGCCCCCCCTCTCAACTCTCTCCTTCAAAGGAAAACTTTCAGATTACTGAATTCTACAGTGCTTTAAAATAAAAACTATTCTGTATTTCTAAAATGCCATTGGGATTAAACACGATACACTAAATGAGAGTACAAGTTATATATGTGTATTACATACAATTTCCTCAATAGCCTTAAGAAACCTATAGATTTTCTATAGATTTTCTTCCAGTTCCATTTTAACTGCAACAGCGGGTTCTGTCCACTCCAAATCCGAGTCTGATTAACGCCCCTATCCCGCCAGATCAACTCTGTTTAGAAACGCTTTCTTCCTTAACGTGCCCACTCAACAGGTAATGGGATTTGGAGTATCCAAATCGCGTGCCTTACACAACAAGTTTAAAGGAATGGCAGACAACCTAATCAGTAAGTCAAGACCAGAGAAAGAAAAAAGTCACTGGAGGTAGGGAACCACCACCAACTCTAACCTAGACACAGAAAATGTTCAACATCTTCGGAGTCAAAGAAGAGCTGGCCAAAACAAAAAGCAAACAGAAGCTGGGATTCAGGCACCCACAGCACCATGTCAACTTCAACTCAAGGTTAGTGTTTATCTAGCTCACCCTCAAATTAAAAGTTGGGCTCCAACATCAGTCGGGGATGTGGCCATGTACCAGCCATCCCCAGGCCACAACCGGCCAGCCGAGGCCACAGGTCAGCCTTCACTGGGCCACAGCTACAATGTCTCGGTGCCAACCCTTGACCTGGTGAATAGGAGGGCAGGCTGGCAGTCACGGGAGAGAGCCTTTTACAGGCAGCTTCACTTGGAGAGTCCCTGCCTGACTTGAGAAATTAAATCTGGACCAACGTGAGGAATTTCAAAAATATAAACGGAAAAGAAGAACCATTGTTCAGGACACTCCCGAGACGTAGTCATTTTATTTGTATGGCCACAGAGAAATCCATCAGTTCCTTGTTTTGTCCCTAAAGCCATTTCTGCAGAGATGGATGGTGGTTCCCTAGGACGAGCAAGCACTCCTCCAGACCTGCCCCCTCCTTCCCTATCTTTTTCAGAACTTCCAGCCCCCAAAGCCAGGACACCCCTTTGCCAGTCCTCCGAGTTCTTGCCAGGATGCAGATGGACTCCGTAACTTCTCACGCCGCCGGTGCCGCGCTCAGCACTTTTGCTGCGGGCTCCCGAACTCCGGGGCTGCACGGCCGAGCCGCACTGGAAGGACCCGGCCCCCGACGCCCTGGCCACCTCCGACGGCGGGGGCGGCTCG